TTGTATTTCAGTTTATTGAAGATACTTTAATCTGCACCTCACCTTTCAGGACTCCACCCTCCACCCCGCGACAGTAACTTGCATATATGTGGTACTGAACAAGATAAACTGTATTTTTGTCCTTTCTCATAGTTTTGGATTTTTCCCCTCATACCCCATTGAACAAAAATACAGTTTTTCTCATAGTTTTGGATTTTTCCCCTCATACCCCATTGGTTCCTTTATATCAACTAAGGGACTATTTATTCATAAACTTCCGGCACAGACTCTATTGAACCGGATTGCAGATCCCCAGCTGCGAATCTCCTCCCCACACTCTCCAGATGGTACCCCACTGCCACGGTTAAAAATGATAACCTTAAAAAAATCCACCACCGTCAGACTGGGTGTCACGTTGTTGGAGCTTCCGAAGAAGAAAGTATCTGCCTTCCCACCGATGCCCAATCTTGTAATTTGATTCCTCTTCCAGCATTAGGAGGGGCTGTCTAACCTTGCAAGGAAGAGAACAGAATACGACTTTAGTCCCCGTTTTCATCATTCCAGGAGATTCTCAAAACTGCATGCGAGCACGCATTCACCAGGAGGCAACTCTGGTGCATTTCGTAAATTAGAACAGTATTTAGGATCATGGAGGGTGGTTTTGTCGCTGTCTCATCACACTATTTGACTTGCTGCAAGGTAGTAATGTTTATCCCCATATGTGGAACAGATTTCTAACCTATACTGATAGCATTGTAAATCCTGGTTTGTTTTCCCTATCATCATCATAAGCCTTCTTCACGGGGCTGTAAATAAATAGAAAGTGCTTCTTTCCTCGTGTTTCCTATTCCCCTACCAAAACAACGCCTCCTCAGATATGCCAGTAAATGTCCTACCAGGTCGGAAAGGTAATTGAGTGAACATTTTCCGTAACATGACTAGCCAATAACATTTTGAAAAGACGAAACAACCTCGTTACAATAGATGGTGAAATAGATGTACATTATGCTACACATATAAGTAAATGTTTTTAAAATAGATTATAGCTGCTTCCTCTAATCATTGTAAATATCAAAAATACACGTAGGGGACTTCGAATGCTACTGCTTATATGCAGATATCTACTGCCTTTAGACTGCGGTCTTTATTTTTTATCAGGACTGTATAAATGGTGGCCCCTGCCATTCGTATTTCATAGCATCTGCTCTTTTGCGTAAGGAGTGGGTTTGATAACTCCCGTTTTCTTGAACCTGCTTTCGCCTTTACCTGGCAGTTTTCCCTTCTGGCGAAAAATAGACGTTTTTGCCACAATATCTTACTGCCAAGGGGGCAAGCCTCCCAAGCGCAGACAAATCATCTTGCCAGCGGCAACTGTGGAAGAAGAAACAAGCAGATGCAAAGGCTTAAGTGCTAAGCAGAGGACGGCTAGGACACCTACAATTACGAACATCGCATCAATAATAGTATTGGAAGTTGCAGCGATTACACGAGCGCCAAGTCGGATACTTAAAACACCCCCCGGGTAAGATTGAGAGAAAAGCAAAGCCCCAAGCAAACCGCTGCCAAAGGAGACACACTGAAACGGAGCGAGCGAGCGAGGCTACTTAGGCGTTAGAGGGGGACTAAAAAGGGCTCCCCGGATCCTCGGTTTTGCAAAGGAGTCTTACAGCGACAAGGCAGCGGGCTGCCAGCCATAAGAAACGCGGCGAAGGAAGGGGCTGGGAAGTGCTCTCTTCGCACGTCTGCGGTGCAGCTCTGGGTCTTCTTCTGGGGAGCTCTGGTTCAAAAAGGAAAAAAAAAAAAAGAAAAAATCAAAAGGTTACTTAATGACCCGAGCGTCCCCCCCGCGGCGCTCTTCCCGCACGCCACGGTCTCTTGGCCGCTGAATTCCATATGCATCCCTTTTTCACACTTCCCTCTGCATCCCAAGCCCTTACACCTGGCGCATCCCCATTCGCCCCGAGCTCCGGCTCCTTCTTTCATCTTTGCCGTGGCAGACGGGGCTATTTATCCGCCAGTGCGTGGCGTCACCGGTGGTACTGGAGTGACGATTGCACCATTAAGGATGACAGCTTAGAAAGAAGAGGGCAATGGTGATCCCTCCCAGAGCCGGCACTGCACAGGGTAGCGCTCGCATCACAAGGTCACCCTGTCTCACCGCCGGGCTCCTACCGGCTTGGGGTGGGAGGCGGGGTGGGGGTGGGGGCCCTGGATTGGGTTTGGGGTCCGAGCCCCGCCATGGCGAGCAGACAGGAGATGGTGCTCTTCCTGGAAGGAGGTCAACTTGGCACTCTGGTTGGCAAGAGAGTATCTAATTTGTCCGAAGCGGTGGGGAGCCCAGCTCAAGAGCCACAGGACAAGATGATCCCTCGGAGTTGCCTGAGCCCCCGATCTGGCTCCTTATCCTCCCGGGAAAGGGGAGGAGGAGAAGAGCAGGGGGAAGCGATGCCAGGGACAGGGACGGTCCCGGAGAGTCGCTCGGCGGCGGCTCTGCTCTCGGCCGGACAGCAGCTCGCCTCAGAGCCCCTCTCGGGCAAAGGGCACCAGAGCAGCTCGGACACCGAGTCGGATTTCTATGAGGAAATCGAGGTGAGCTGCACCCCGGACTGCGCCACGGGAAACGCCGAGTACCAGCCCAGCAAAGGTACCCACCGCTTCCCCCTTTGCTTGCCCCTTCCCTTCTCGGGCGCCGCCCAAGCGGGGTGGCTAGTGTCAGGCAGCAGTCTGGGGGAGGGTCGGTGTTTAGCAGCGGTGTTTTGCGCCCGAATTCCTTCCCTTTGGATGCACCGGTTTGCGGACTCGCAAATGCAGCTGTTACACCCCCAGCGGCGCCCAGTGCCCGGCGGATCGTCTCCATCCAAAACACCGGGGCCTTTGCAGGTTCCCCTGCCGCTGGACTTTATTCTCATGCGCGCCCCTGCCAGGCTACGCCTGCAGTGGGAAGCCCCCTCTTTCCATGCCCCAACCCCCAAATGCTTTGTGTGCATTTGTCAAGGGCTGGGAGCGAGCACTCTTCCCCGGGCTTTGCCAAGATCAAACGCTTTGGGGAACAGCGGGCAGGGAGCCGGCTGAAATGCGCCTGGATGCGCACGGAAGCGGCCCTAAAGACCGTAAAATCGCCGCAGGCTCCTGGCGGCCGAAGGTGCAGCAGTAGGTCCCGTTGGCACGTCAGCGAAAGGTCCAAATTACCTTGTCACTTCCCTGTCCCGGCGGCGCCAGCTCGGAAATGGCCTCAATGGTTTAATTGCCTTTGGTCTCGGGCACAATGGGACCTGGTTGCATTTGAAAGCGAGCGCAGCGTCCAGGCCTTTTTCTTCTGCCTCCCCACCCCCTCTAATTTCCTTCCCCCCCTCCCCAAGGAAAAAAATCGCCCCTCTCCCTTTCAGGCGCTGGGCGTTGGGAAACTGGGCACAGGAAAGGCCATTTCCCCTTCGGTTTGCCCAGGGGCTTGATTTTAACGCAGCCTGCGGGAATATTGAGTAGGAGCAGCAGCCCCCCGCAAATCTCCACCCTCACTCCCCAGGAAGGAAGCGAGCTCTGTCTGCTGGCAGGGCCCTGTCCAGGCCCTTTGCTGCTGGGGACGCCGGCTCTGGTGGCTGCACTGTGCGGGGCCGATGGCCTGGGGGGGAAGGGCGAGAGGGGGGGGACCCAACACGCACCCCCGCAAAAAGAAAACACGAGAGGGCTCGGAGCTTGATTGAAGCGGGCGCGGAGGAGCGCGGTTCCTACCACGCACGAAGGAGGCCTCGCAGGCAGAGCCCCTGGGACGGTCCGGGGAGGGAGCTGGAGGGATCCCCTCGCCCTCCACCCTCTGTGCCCAGGCAGCGGTGGGTCAGTGCCCCAACTTCCCCCGGGCCGCGCCCGCGACCAGGGGATGCTGTAGATACCGTCCTGTGTTGGGGAGGGGGGAAGCGGGAGCAGGGATCGATGGGGAGGCCAGCGGGGACTATCCCTCCTGTCCACGCATCACGCGTGTGTCTCTGCTCTCGGCTCCACTGTGCAGGGCCGTGCTCGGAGGCTTTGGCCGGTGGCAGCCCCAGCAGCGGGGGGGAGCCCCCCAAGGGCAGCGGAAGCAGCAGCGGCTCCCAGGGCTCGCTGGCCTGCAGCGCCAGCGATCAGATGCGCCGCTACCGCACCGCCTTCACCCGCGAGCAGATAGCCCGGCTGGAGAAGGAATTCTACCGGGAGAATTACGTGTCCAGGCCCAGGAGATGTGAGCTGGCAGCTGCTTTAAATCTGCCAGAAACCACCATCAAGGTACACGCCGCTCGGACATGTTTTCAATTAGCACGATATAAATCTACAGGGCCAGGCTGTCTTAGCGCAAAAACGCTGGGAAGCGCTCACAGGAGAACCAATCTTTTCGGGCTGCGCCCTACTATTTTCTTCGGAAAGGCAGCGCGAGGGTAGCTTTTAATCAAAGTTACCAACGATCAGGAAATCGAGGTCGCTGCAGCCCAGCCCCTGCGTGTTTTTAATTCTCCTGTCAGCTGATTTCAGAATGGAAAGCCTTGCCCTTCATACTCCGGGAACATAAAATCAGAAGCATTGAAAAGAAACGTTTCGACCTTTTGTCGCGTGAAATAAAACACTAGAGGGAACAGCAAATGCCCGGGTGGCGTTTCCAAGATGCTGCGAAGGCGGCAGGGCTTCTAGGCAGGAGGTAGGCTTGTGTGGAGTATGGGGAAAGGCACAGAAAGGGCAGCAAGAGAGCAACTGTGAAGAGAAAGAAAGAAAGAAAGAAAGAAAGAAAGAAAGAAAGAAAGAAAGAAAGAAAGAAAGAAAGAAAGAAAGAAAGAATCTTAGGAATAGGCCGAATAGGCCACGACTTGAGCTCTCCCTCTAGATTTATAGCAACTTTTACAGGGACAAATGGTAGTTTTTTTACTCGATGACAGCTCATTATTTGAACCATAGATTTTTATTTTGCCAGTTCAGCCGATGCAGTTAAAGTAGGGCGGTGGCTCTCCTTCCCCAGCTCAGGCACATTCGCACACAGTGTGAGCCCTGTGGAAAAGGCATGCGCGGATCAGGACGTGTGTGTGTTGCGGTGTGGCAGAGGGAGCAAACGGCTGGGTCCCCATTCATCCTCTGGCCTGGCCTTTCTGGCTGCCCCGCAGGCTTTAAGAGCATTCTCTTTCTCCTCTGTCTCTCCCAGGTGTGGTTCCAGAACCGCCGGATGAAGGACAAGAGGCAGCGTTTGGCTATGACCTGGCCTCACCCAGCGGACCCAGCTTTTTACACTTACATGATGAGCCATGCAGCGGCAACTGGCAACCTTCCCTACCCCTTCCCGTCCCACCTGCCCCTTCCTTACTACTCCCACATGGGCCTTGGAGCCACCTCGGCCTCTGCAGCCACCCCGTTCAGTACCCCTTTGAGACCCCTGGACACCTTTAGGGTCCTCTCCCACCCTTACCCCAGACCAGAACTGCTCTGTGCATTCAGACACCCTTCTCTTTACCCTGCCCCAACTCATGGACTCAGTAGTGCTGGAGGCAGTCCTTGCTCATGCCTGGCTTGCCATAGTAGCCAGTCCAATGGACTGGCACAGAGACCTTCCGGAACAGACTTTACCTGTTCAGCCACAACCAGGACTGACTCTTTCCTCACTTTCACACCCTCAGTGCTGAGCAAAGCAACCTCAGTATCCATGGACCAGCGGGAAGAAGTACCTTTAACAAGATAGATCTTCATCTCAGGTTTAGAAATAATATGCCCCTTTCATGGGCTCACGTAAGGTTCAAGTACTTGCATACAATGTTTATTTAATCGTGTTCTCTCCCATAAGTGGACACCTCTGGGGAGAAAGACTAAAAATAGCTCAGTCTTTGAAGGATTTACATTCCAAGATAAAACAGGAAAGAAGAAGAAGGGGGAAAACCACTAGTGATGTATGTGCATAAGGAAGAATTTAGCCTTCTGCACTATGAAGGCAAAAACTGATCTACATTACTTTCTATACCATACGATAGAAATGAGTTGTTTTCTATGGCCAGATAATCTATCAAGAAGCAGAACTTCTCCAAACCACAGCAAAAATCTTTATGCCCCGTGATACGTGACTGAGAAGTAAAATCTGAAATACTTGAAAGAAAAAAATTGCTGATAATAAAATGTCTCCTGTGCATAATACAAAGTCAAGATTTGTGCTTTACCAGATTGTTCAACCACTAACTAAAGGGGTTTCATCTCAACAGTGTTATCCAGTTATATCTAGAACCAAGAAAACCATTTTTGCCATGAAGAATTAGAGTGACACACTGTACCTTACTTTCATGGTTTAATTGCATTCTTTACCTCCCTCCCTGCCTCAGTAATATAAACCTTTCGGTTTTTTAAGCAGCAACCCAATATATCGTCTCCTCCTTCCTCCCAACTTTTATTTTTAAAGAGAGACAGACTAAAACTGGCAGAGGAAAAAAAAAGATCCTGTCAGTTTGTGGGTCAGAGCTATTTGTCCTTTAACTAACAATGTCCTATTATCAGTTGCTGAAATGTGCACACACTGAGGAAATTAGCAAGTGATGTATATGTAAGGAGGCTTTTTGAATGTCGAATGTATAATATTCTCTGAACAGAGACCCGGTGCCAAACGTTAACAAGCCGCCAAGGGAAGAGATTAGGTGACAGGGAGCTGAACTCCTTCAGACAATCACTAGTCTGCAAATTAGAGCAAAGGCGATTTCCTTCCTTTGTATTTCACCTTTAGTTCTCCCATTGGTTCATTCCTTTTCTATTCCTTTGCTAGATGTGGATGTTAGAGGCGTGTGCTAGGTTTTGTTTGGGAGGGGGGGAGCTTTTTTTGTTAGTTTCCCTTCGTTCCCTTTCCTTTCCCCCTTTTCTACATTTGTATGTGAATTCCACAATTTCTCGCCATTTTTGTGTGCAAAGTCTTTCCTCCTGGAGATTTCTTTATTTCTTCGTCCTTTCACTTCTTGTATGTTGCCGTGGAAGATAGTACTCACTAGTTTGCTTGGATTTTTGTCTGAGTGGAGTGCAGCTGTCAAACTGAAATTCTAAAGCCACAATTATTGGACGGGGCTAATAGTTTCTTTCAAGACAGAAAATGTTTAATTGATTCTCTTTAAATAGCCCAAAGAATTCACTGTTACCATATGTTACCATGTCGCAATAAAAAGCTAGACAAATTTTAATACTGTATCACAAATATTTTATTGTGTTTGCTTTTTTTAAAAAAAAAAACTTAAGAATACTGCTTGCTACCGTTTATTTTTCTTGCAGTTCCTTCTATTTGCACTTCCAACAGCCAGAGAAAATAAATGTTGAATAGAAACAAAGACATTTTGACACTTCAGTTATCTACTTTGCATTACATTGCTCTTAACACATGTCTCTGTATAGTTTTTAGTCACATTTAAGACTTTGGGTCCACAGGACAATGGGGGAGGGACATATTTCTAAAGTGACTGCTGACAAATAAGAAAGATACAAATACCTTCCAAACGATTTCTCATTTTAATAAAAAACTGCTTATCGGAAAAACTGGTCTAAGGAGAGGGACTCTCCACACTCATCATTAGGGACCAATCTCTTCCACCAATTTTAAAGCAGAAGTCTCCTTTTTTAATAAAAATGGAAGGACCTTTCATGTATGCCAAAGTATTATTAGAATATTATTAAGTACTATAAATAGGACGATTGCTGTTTCAACTAGTGGTAAAGGAACATACTAAATTCACCAAACCAAATCTAGAAATGAAGACTTAATTTTTTGGGAGGTGGAAGCTGCTCTACCTGCCTCTCAGCATATATTTAATTCATTAAAAGTGAAGTGAAGGGAAATATGAATGAATAACAGCACAGCGTAGCAACCAGAATAGATGGCCTATTGGCAGAAGGGGTACAGGGACAGGACATGAAGAGGACCTCTTTCAACTGTCCACAGCTAGGTAGGATCATGCAGACATCCTGATGGCAAATCGTTCGTTGACTTCAGTGGGAAATTGGCTTGCACAAAGATTTCTCTGGATGGAAGCAGGCTGTGGTGTTCACGGGCGTATTGCTCCTTTCAGGAACACAGCCATGTTTAGAAAGCAACAACATATTTATGTAGGCGATCCCATGTGTATGTGTATGTGAGCGATGGTCAGGTGCGGTCAGGGAGTATGGGACGGGCACTGTGTATATCTCCCCCAGCAATCAAAATGAAATGGACTCCTATCTCTCACCCCCTAGCCACTTCACAGCCCTCCCGCAGGGAGTTCTTGTCTTCCCAACGCTGTTTTTTGGAGGATCCTGCAGCAAAGAGGATTGTGACTCTCGCTGCTGCTCGGTCATAGGGCAAAGATTGCCTGCGACAGGTAAATAGGCTGCGGGTCGTGGCGATGCCAGGCGTATTTTCAGTTAATAGGGAGGGAAAATGAGGTGTCGGGAACGATATTGGAAAGTCCAAGATCGATGATCCGTCCGCGGGTCCAATCAGCAGCCTTTAATTGACTGTATTTGCTAGGTAATTGAGCCACTTCTGCTTCGAAATTGAAGTTGAAGACATAACAATACATCTTGCTAGGGAGGGGGTTACTCATTACTTCGTAATGAAATTTCCCCCTTGCGATGTTGGGTGATTTCTTTTAACACGTTCTAAGCCAGTCCCCACGGCGGGTTGGGAACAGCCCCTTACCACCCATGGGGGCGGAAAAGGGAGATGGTGGGGTGAAAGGGATTGGGGACAAAGTACCCAGCTTCCCTGCGGGCCCGTCTAAATCCACGGGAGTTTCCCCAGTGACAGGATGGGGCTGAGAGCAGGCTCCTGTAAGAGGAAAGGGTTTCTAAGGGAAGACGGTGCGAACTGGGGTCAGGTACCTGTATTGCTAAGGTGCAGCCAGACACATCAAACTAACCTCCCTCCCCCACTTCCAAACCCCGCAGCAGAGAGCGTCTGGCAGTTCTGGGCATTCTTTGACTTCGCTGCCCTCAGAAAAGCTGCAGCAAAGAATCCGGCCCCACTTGTCAGTAGCAAAGCAGAGTTGCCGTCGGGTACCTCATGTGCCACACAGAAGGTTCCAGTTTCCAGCCAGCCAAATTCGGCTCCAACAGGCCGTCCCCGGGTTGTTAGCGTTTGATTGATTGCCTTATTAAAGCGTGTTCTTGTAAGTGTGACCAAACTGATTGCATTGCATATGTTTGGAATAATGCTCGTTTTAAACAACTGCATAAAAGAAGATGAGCTCCAGAGAGTGGGTTAAGGCTAAATGATCCCAGCGAGCAGGTTTGTAACTCGTGCATTAAATTGCTCCCTTACTATCCACTCCCTCGGCCCTTTTCATTGCGCGCTGGCCATCTTTGTGGGCCACCTTCTGCCCCAGTAGCCGGCTAGCATCGAATCTGGGTCTTATCTTTCCCACTGGCTACACTTTTGTTTTTAAGCTGCACGATGAAACTGGAGCGGATCTGCTTGCCCCAGCACTATTGCCTGCCCCAGGGTTTAGATCAGTGAGAAAGAGGTTCTTCTGATGTCATGCCTTTCCCGCACCTGCAGAAAGACACATGGTGGGCCCATTAGCTCTTTGCTTATGTTGGTGTATCTGACGGAGTCTTTTGTTTTCAATTATTCTCCTGCTCCGCTGATTGCATTATTTTCACTGCGGAGTTTAGCCACTGAAAACAGCCGCCACCATATGTCAAGCCGAGACCCAATAACAGGCCAGTCGCAGCAGCGTCACAATCAAGTTAAAACTATGTTGGATTCTAAATTCCAAAGAGGCTTGAATTTACTCGTCAGGTACATTAGCGTATATAGAGGGCAGTTTCCCGTCCCTCCATTTCTCCCTCCCTCCTAAATACCTCACTTGCCATCAACATAACTCATCAGTCTTTTTTGCCAGCTCATTTTCAAACCAAACGTATTTTCATTAATTCTCGAGAAATAAATTAGACACATGCAGCCATAGCAAATACACACAGTAAACGCAGGGAGAGGACATATTCTTAAATTAGACCTTTAACAATATACAACACCTTTCACCTATGGCTAAAGACGACACTATTATGTAAGATTAAAACACTTTTCTGGTGGGTGTGTTTTTAAATGAAAGATGAGAGGTTAAGTGGTGGCTGTTTCAGGATGTTTGAACCTCCAAACCAATCTCATAGACAAACAATTGCCATCTGATTCAATGAGGTTGTTCCCTAGAAAATGTCACTTCGTATCTATTTAACCCCTTCAAATAATTTAAAGAACACGACTGGGGCATAGCCGAATTTTACATACACGAAGAATATTTACAGGTATTAAACAGATCAACCACCAAACAAGCAAAGTGACTACACCCAATAGTTTGCACAACTGCTATCGCAGCAAAGAATGCGTGATGTCAGAGACAAAGATTGCCCCTTAAAAATCACATGAAAGCATTAACTAATTACTTAAAAACAAGGCTGTTTAGAAAAATATTTGTATTTATTGCAGCTGCTCAATTGGCCTCGTTAAAGCTGGAGAGCATTTAAATTGTGTCATTTAAATCCAGCTCCGTTCCAGCAGGCTGAAGAGCCTGAATAGACCAATCACACCATAATGATGATGAATGAGAAATTAATTCACATACAAGCAAGACAATTTAGGCCTTCATCTGTTTAAATAGCCTTCCAAGATTATCCGCAATTGCGGGTCACAGATTTAATCAATTGTCCAATCTTGTGAAAGTCATAGCCTTGCATCTTCATCGAGATTATTTATAGCGCTGGGAAGACTAGGAGGAACAATTACTTAAAGGGAAGCGTTTGCAAAATGACAAACAAATGCCTTGCTAGGCAGTAAATGATCAAATGCTTCGCTGTATGCTCTCCTCAGTCTAAGGCAGCCTCTGGTTTTAAAGAGAGCGAAGCTGCCGGTATCATTTAAAACAAGGCGACTGGTAGAGCTGAATATGGCTTATATCAGAGGTTACAATATTCTTTATTGAAGCAATGGGAGCTATTGCTTATTTACCAATTACAAGGATTTCCCCCATGCAGGTTTCTCCTGGGCACGGGACCAGCTGTACTTTTTTTCACGACAGCAATGTCATACACACATCATAAAATACAATCAATGCAATGCCTTCTAATACCCAGTACCTACACCCTCCCCCACCGCACCACGGGCAAGGCCACCCCTTGCAATCAAGATCAGAGCATCATTTTGCCTCCCCTTCCTCTCCCCCCGCCCCCCCCGTGAAACTATGCACTGAAAGCCAGGGATGGCCAGTGAGAGGGGGGTTACAAGGCGACTGGGTTATGCAGCTTGACTCCCTGAAGGGGTGCAGAAAAGTGGTTTATTTGCTCCAGCCTGTGACACAGTGAATCATAACGAAGAATGAAAGGACGTGGGATATTTCCAATTTCTTAAGAGGACATAGTGTTGCTCATCCTTTCTTTGCGACTCCGGCATGCTGAAACTGAAAAGGTCGCAGTTAGTAATGAGTTAACTAAATCTCTTGGAAAGTACATCCAAAAATCAAGAGGACTATGGTGTTTTGAGGGGTGGAGAAGGAAAAGACAGGGACGAGGTAAAGTCACTGACTCGACTTATTCTCCTGGCTTCCAGTACAATATTTTCCTACACGCTGCAATCCGTGAGACTAGGGAAAATCTGGTAAATATTTCCTATAGAGAGTTTCTCTGCGCTCTAAGCGCTAGTTTGGTTTAACTCCGACGCATAGAGATGAAAAGTGAACAAGCACCTGCTTTACCAAGTCTGGCTCAGTGTAAATATCGAATTAGACTGTGAGCTCTTAGGAAAACGGGATCTGGTCCTCTTACATTTGTGTACCTAGAACCTATCCACACTTTTACACACAAAGCCGCTTACACCTGAACACTGACTGTACGCGGCATGGGAATCAATGCACCGGTTACAATAGGAAACATTTTCCCGTGTATTTATATTTCGTGACCAATTTACAAAATCCTGGCCCACAAGTTTGGTCACTTCGATCTACAATCTCCCCAAACTTAATGTACAGACGAGTCTTGTTCATTCGAAGCGGTTTGTAAGTTTTGCCCGGCGCAAGAGGTATTTTTACACGCCAGGAGCAAGCAATTCCACATCACAGTGATGGGAGGAACCCAAGAATATGTTAATGTTTTTGCTGTCACCAAGAGTTATTCAAAGTTTTACATTTGTAAAAATGCTTGGACACATGATTTAAGAAGTATGGAGCGGTGTTAACCTCCTGCCTTTCGGGTATTGTTTTGATCTGACTGTAAACATTTCATTACATTGGGCAGAGCAGAGCTCGAATATAAATATAGATGTGAAGTCCCCTACTCTTGGCTCGGGAATGAGATTAT